GGTTTAGGGTTTAGGGTTTAGGGTTTATCGAGTTTAGGTCCTTAGGGTTTAGGGTTTAGGGTTTAGGGTTTAGGGTTTAGAGTTTAGGGTTTAGGGTTTAGTGTTTAGGGTTTAGGGTTTAGGGTTTAGGGTTTGTGTGTGTGTGTATGTATGCAGGGTTGATGTCTTTGGACGCGTTGCATGCATCTGTGTCTGGGGCTGGTTGGGGTGTATACGCAGCTGCTGCTGCATGCAGCCCCAAACTACCTTCTGTCTCTCTCCCTTCTCCTCTCCCCCCCTCATATGAAACAGATGAACTTCTCTTTAGTTTAGATATTAACGCCGTCGAGGAGACTGTGGGGCACTGTCTCCTTTTGTCTCCTTTTTTGTCTCCTTTTCTGTCTCCTTTTCTGTCTCCTTTCTTTTGTCTCCTTTTGTCTCTTTTTTTGTCTCCTTGTCTCCTTTTGTCTCCTTTTCTGTCTCCTTTTTGTCTCCTTTTCTGTCTCCTTTTTTGTCTCCTTTTCTGTCTCCTTTTTTGTCTCCTCTCTTCTGTCTCCTTTCTTTTATATCTTTTTGTCTCTTTTTCTGTCTCCTTTTTGTCTCCTTTTTGTCTCCTTTTTGTCTCCTTTTTGTCTCCTTTTTTCTGTCTCCTTTCTTCTGTCTCCTTTCTTCTGTCTCCTTTCTTCTGTCTCCTTTCTTGTGGCTCCTTTTCTGTCTCCTTTTCTGTCTCCTTTTCTGTCTCTCTTTTTTTATATCTCTCTTTTCCTTTTCTTTGTCTCTCTATCTCTGTCTTTGTCTCCTTTTGTCTCTTTTTGTTTTTTTTTTGTTTTTCTCCGCTGAAACAAAAAGGAGACACTCTTACTATCTCCTATCGCCACCGCTGCTGCTGCTGCTGCTGCTGCTGCTGCTGCTGCTGCTGCTGCTGCTGCTGCTGCAGGGGGAGCTGCTGTCGCTGCCGTTGCAGCTGTCTACGCCTTCTGTGGTGTATGCTGAGGTTGTCTCCAACTTTGTCTTAGATTTCGTCAGGTTTGTTTGTCTCTTCTTTTTTATAATATTATATTTTATTATATTATATTATATTATATTATATTATATTATATTATATTATATTATATTATATTATATTATATTACTAGTGTTGTATTATATTATGTATATATATATTATATATTGTTGTTTTTATTTATTTTTTTATTTATTTTATATATTTTTATTCATTTGTTTTTTTATAGATTTTCTTTATTAGTTTATCTTCTGGCTGGCCTGTTCTCCTCTCCATTGCCTACTGCTGCTGCTGCTGCTGCTGCTGCTGCTGCTGCACTTGCTGCTGCTGCTGCGTGTGTTGTTGCTGCTGTTGCTGCATGTGCTGCTGCAACATCTCCTGCTGCTGCTGCTGCTGCTGCTGCTGCTGCTGCTGCTGCTGCATGCATGCAGAGTGGGTATAGAAGTGTCTGAGGGTCTGTGGCTGGGCGAGCAGCGGGGGCAGCAGAACTCCCTAAAGCTGCTGCTGGGGGCGGGGCAGCACACGCTGCGTGTGCGGCTGGAGACGGAGACACACAGCAGCAGCAGCAGCAGCAGCAGCAGCAGCAGCAGCAGCAGCAGCAGCGGGGAGAGCGGGAGCGGCAATCGTTATAAACATTCTCTTAGAGACAAACTCCTTGAACACGCACAGGTACACTAGCTAGCTAGCTAGCTAGCTAGCCAGCTAGCTAGCTAGCCAGCTAGCTAGCCAGCTAGCTAGCTAGCCAGCTAGCTAG